GGAACATAGGGGGAACTCAGAGCCATTCAACGACCTGAGACAGTTTTTTGCATCAGAGAGATCCAGGCCGAATCTACAAAGCACAGGAAAACCTTGAGGAGAACAAATAATAAAACAAGCACAAAGATCCCCCAGACAAAAGGTATTGGGCATGACCAAAACATGTCCCTTACGACTTTGTTTTAGTTTGCTTTTGACTTTTTAGTTTTCTTCGAGGTTTCTTTGGTTTCTGCAAATGGGATGCCTTTCAGACATGGCATGACCAAAACATTGTCCTCATGACATTTGCTTTTACTAGTGTTGTTGGTTTCCTTAGGTTTCTAGTCGTTTTGCAAATGTCAGGCCTTTCAGGTATATGTTTGGCTTTGCAAATGAGATGCCTTCAAGATAGCTCAAGCACTAATACCTTGTCTTCATGCTCATCCATTGGTGTCTGAGTATTTCGGGACAAATTATACACACATACACATCTGCACATATTCATATGTGCACATATACATATATACTAATATATACATATGTACATACATACAGACAAGCATGCATGCATGCATGCATACATACATACATACATACACATGTACATGTACATACACATGTACGTATACAATATACATGCATATAGACGCATGTGTATATATATATATATACATATATATATATATATATATTTACATACATATACACATTTACACATACACATACACAAAACAAATACATACACATATACACGCATACACAGATATACACACGTGCATACACACACATACATACGTACACATAAATACATACAGATAGATACATGCATACATATCTACACACCTACATACCTGCATACCTCTATACCTACATACATGCCTACATACCTACATTCCTACATACATACACGTATGCACGCATATACCCACATACATACATGCATACATACAGACATACAGACATACATACCTACCTACGTACATATTTACATACCTACATACCTACATACCTGCATACCTGCATACCTACATACATGCCTACATACCTACATGCCTACCTACCCACATACCCACATACCCACATGCCTACATACCTACATACATGCATAGATACATAGATGCATACATGCATACATGCATACATGCATACACACATAGATAGATAGATAGATAGATAGATAGATAGATAGATAGATAGATAGATAGATAGATAGATAGATAGATAGATAGATAGATCATAGATAGATACACAGATGCATACATACATGCATAAGTACATAGATATATAGATAAATATATGCATACATACATACACACATATACATATTTACACAGTTTCCAGCATGCATTTACCGGAGTTTTGCCGCGCAGGCCTTCATGCCGGAGCCCAAGGCCCTTGTTTGGAAGCCCCAGCTGATATGAACCCCACTGTAGGGCTTCATGGTTTAAGGTCCAAGCAAGTTGCGTCCGAGGTTCCTGGTGACAAAGGATTATTCGAATGGCCTCCCGCCGAAGGCCTCGATGTACTTCCGAAATACGAAACGTCTCAACGGAAAGCGGTCGATTCACAGTTTCCTCTACATATTCTATATTAGATCAAGTGGCACATGTTGAAGGACCTTGTAGTCAAAGTTGCATCCGAAACCGAGATGAGGTGGCTAGGCCCAAAACAGGTTGCTGAAATCCGGACACAACTTTCGGAACCAGCGAGCCAGCCAGCCATCCAACATCGAACCATCCAACCATCGGAACCCTGATGTCGACAACGACTCCGAGGCAACTCCCAGGTGTAAAACTCTGGCCATCAACAGGCTGTTAACCTGCTCTCTTCCTGGTCCCTCCCTTCAAAAAGGAAACCTTAACCCCCACGGTCCCAGAATTGGGGGTTTCAAACCTGCCCCACTGCGTGTCTGTTTGGTCATTGTTTTGTGCGAGGGGGCTATTCTTGGCAGTTTCGAGTTGTGTGTGTGTAATCTCGTATTTGTCTAGTTTTCTGGTGGGTTTAAAACCCAGCTTGTCAAGCTAACAATGTCGACCCCGGATGTGCCGCAACCCGGCGGATTTTGCTTGCGGGGCGGGTGTTCCCCCACAAAATGAAGGATGGACTGTAAGGAGGGGAGTTGTGGATCGTGGGTCCCTGTGAGGTTCCCTGCGTCCCCTTCTCTACCCAAGACAAACAACGAAAACATCAGCTCTAGGGAACCTCCCCTTGTTTCTGGGCCAAACAGGCTGTTTAGAAGACGCGGAAAACGGGGGACCCAAGCCGTCCTATGCCCCCCCAACCCGGAATAGTTTGGTGCTTCGCTGGCTGTCGACCCGAGTCCTGGCTCGAGACCTTTCAAAGCCCAAGGCACGGCTTCTTGAAACCGGCAGGCCGCAGGACAAAAGGAAACCGAATTGGTGGCTTCTATCTTTTTAAGGTCAGACCATTTTGCCTTTAACTCCCCCCCCCCAAAAAAAAGTACCCTCAAAAGAGACACACCCGAATGAGCCTTCATCAAAACCTGGGCAATTTGGAGGGTAAGGGATGTCTTAATTGGCCATGGATGCGAATATTTGCCCGATTTATTGTTTACTGTGTTGGGTAGACCTTGTTAACACAGATGTTGATTATGACGCAAATGCTGCCTGGTGCATAGGTGCAAAATCTGGTGGGCAAACGAAGCGAATGGAGAGATGCCATTTCCCCGGCATCGGCTTGAGGTTTTGGGTAACAGCCATCTACGGGTTTTGCAGGTGGGCATCAGCTTTGGGACCATTCTCCAGGTTATTCATGTACGGGTATGGGTCAAAAGAAAGCCACCGGGGTCCGCAGGGTTTAGTCCTTGTTTCCATTTAGCTGGGTTCAGGTTTGAGTTTGATTCCGCGATTTCAGGTCAGTTCAAGCGACAGGACGGTTCGAAGGGAAGCACTGCTTAAACAGTTTCTTGGCCCAACCCATAACTAGAGCAGGGACGGTCTTTGATCTTTAGTGACGCCATGGAGCACCATCATGATGCGGTTTGCATTTGCATGACGCAGCCTGCGTTCATGCGCATCCCCCTAAAGAGAATTCCAAACATAACGGTTGGGCTGTGTGCAGATTAAGCTGTCGGGGGGAGGGGGGGAACCCTTCCGTACCGAAGGGTCGAAAATGTCGAAGATGTCGAAGATGTCGAAGATGTCGAAGATGTCGAAGATGTCGAAGATGTCGAAGATGTCGAAGATGTCGCTGGTTCGTTGCTAAGAGACATCTTGAGAAGAGCTGTTCACTTTGCCAAGATGTTGAACATAAAGAACATGTACAACATGAAGAGCATCACCGTGAAATGTAGTATCCCTTCAAGAGGCAACCGTGGCTAGATGAAAGTCAGAGACTTGACTTGCTTTGGTCAACATACCAATTACCAGGTTCGCCTACATGTCCAAGTGTTGGATTTGTTTTAAAATGTCGACTGAGCAACCCCGATTCAATCAGACCAGTCGGGCCTGGAATGGCGTAAGCATTCACCAGTCTCCGAAGAAGTGCCCTGGCAAGGCATTCGCTGATGTTTGGGGACGCTCTGGAAAGCGGACATTCGCCGTTTCAAGATATAAAGGAAGCGTCCTCCATATCCCTGGGTCCCAAGTGAACGATTGAGGGTTCTTAAAACGACATTTGGGGGACAGTTTAGATAGAAACATTCAAAAATGCCAATTGAAATAGATGGCAGTTTGTCAGGCCGGGCATTGCTTGCAGCACTGGCACCATGGTGGTCGCAGGAGCACGGAGCTGAAGACCAAACTTGGGATCCGGGCAGACTGTCCCGCTTGAGTAATAGGGGCTAACAACACGCAAACACCATGGCCATCTGTTGCCCCATGATCATGAAAAAGTTTGATTTCCTGTTGTTTGCCCCACATCCCGTTCTCATTCAGCGCCTTGTGGCACCTTCCCTCAGGCAAAAACAGAGTTTCACAGGGCGCGCTTTAGGCGAAGGCAGTTTTCTGGGACTCCTAGTTGCTTTGTCCTTTCCTATAGCAAGCCAGCATGGCTATACTGGGCAAGCCGCAAATCCAACATGATATGTGTACGGGGATGACTTAGGGCCCTAGGGTACGCTTGTCACCAGTATGGATGTTCGCCCAATGCGTTGACTGCATTGGACCTGCAAACTGAGATTAGTACTTCAAGAAGTCTCTCACAGTTAGGGTATCAGCGCATTTGTGAGGAGGCCAGAGCTGACGAGGAGATGGAGGGGGTAATCAAAACCCAACGCCTGAGCCTCAAAGCCATGCAAGGACAGATACGTGTTTTTGCGGGTCGCAACCCGCGCTAGGAGTCGCGCGCATTTTCAAAATGTGTTTGTTTTTGCAACTTGTGACCTGCTTTTTGGAAAAAGGAAAGGACCCTCCAAGAGGGGCGCTACAATCCACTTTTCAGGGGCAGTTGGGGTGTGGCAGCAGTTGGCAAATGTGTTCAGGCATGCGAGACGGTGTGCAAGCACCCAAGCCAGCCCGCGAACCTTCCCCTTGACCATCCCCTGGCCACCCAATGGCCGTCCCTGTCGCCAGTCGTGCGACTCATCGCGCGCATTCCTCGGTTAGCGATTTTAACCTGGCCCAGGGTTTCAAGTTGACGCGAACGCTGGCGAAGGCCGGTCCTGCCTGAAGGTGTCTCACGGCTGCTTTCTCCACGTGCCTTCAGCGTCAGAGGCCCTCCTGCATCACCAGCATCCACCGTTCCACAATGGCTCGCTCGCAATCGCGCGGGCACAGCGTGTTGTATTTGCTGGTTGACAGCCGCCTTTTGTTTCAAACATATGCGTGGTCTTGGAACGCAAGTTTGGGCCGTATAGAGGGCATCCACTTGCAAGATTGAGACCCGAAGCTGGTATTTGAGTCCTCCAAAATGTCCAAAGGGGACGTAGGGACCTTTCCTTATCGTCATGTGGAACATGTCAGAAGCGTTCTTCTTAGCTTCCGCCGCAAAGGCCTGTTCACTTCCCCGGAGGAAGCCAAGGCCCGGCTCAGGAAGGGCTTGACACTCAAACCTGGTTGGAAATGAAGGTTGCCAAAATTCGATCCACACAAATCATTAGGAGATCACAAGTGTTAGTCCTTCCAGTTCCATGTTGTGTACCTTGATTGACCACAACCAAGTGCTGCAAACTATGTCTGCCACTAGTATATATTAGATCAACTAGTGATAAAGGGTTCCTGGTAGTAAACCAGGCAGGAAACGATGTCTCTCATGTGCTTTTTGCAAAGCAAGTGTTGCAAAGATACGTAGGTTCGCATCATCTTGCGGCCAACCAGCACCGCGGGCCTACTCTCTTTCAGATATTGGATGGATGTTCAGCGAGCGTCCTCTTTTTGGTAGCTCCGCCGTTTTGCATCCCCCGCGTCTGCGTAGGAGGCGGCCACCCACGGTAGGTTCCCAAAAGATGTCCTTCGGCATCCCTTGGTTTGATCGACAAAAGGGGTGTGTGCTGTTGTGGGTCGCCTTTTGGGGTGTACTCATGTTGAAGGGCCCCTATTTCCTCAAGCCCTGAGAAATCAGCCTGGACACTCAAACCTTCCCCACATCCAGGAAATCACCTATACTTTTTGGTGGAGGTCCGGAGTGGCTAGGGGGTTCCGGAAGTGTTCCGAGGTGTCCGGATTTCGGGGGAAAGTTTGAGTCCGTTCAGGGCTCCGGGGAGCTCTGCTCATGGCTCCATTTCGGAAATTCGGGTAGGTTTGGGTAGGTTTGGGCGGTCCGGAGCTCCGGGCTAGGGGGATGCCAGGCGGCGGCGGAGCGGCTCAAAGCGACGGGCGCGGGCACGGATCTGCTGGAGCAGCCGGTGGATCTCCGGCCCCCAGCGCCTTGGAGGCGTAACCGGCAGCTGCGGGACAACTCCGATTCCCCTGTTGTAACCGGGGCGAGTCCAACGGTATATCCCATGAGGGTGGCCCTTACCGCCCCAAAGGAAGCGCTCCCCGAATGACCGGCTGCGCGGTTCCTGACGCAAGCTGCAGGCAGATCTTGTGTTCCCTAGATGTCCAATGTCTTTCCCAACATGCCAGCGCACGTCTTTTCGCGAGATTCGTTTTAAGGGAGCACGATGGAGCTTGCTCACCTCCATGTTTGTTTGTGGGAGGGCAATGTCCGTCCGAAGTTGTTGCGCCATCGTGCCTAAGGAAATCCCGCAAGACGACACACCCTCGGAGATGGTACGAGATTTGGTGCGCGAGGCGCGCGTATTTCTGGCCCGCGACTCCGCGACTCTGTGACGTGAACTTATCCCACAGTCACAAACTTTGGGCATTTGGTTTGTCCATTGTCTTTCCAAGGTTGTCGAATGCGGTTGTCCTTGTTGTCCCAGGGTGATATATCCATTTTGTCCCGTAAATTTGTTATCCCATATGGGTTTGTCGCAAAATACAGGATAGAAAAAGGGTGGCGTCCCTTTAAGTTCTTTTTAAGGACACTCATGTTCAGGGCACCCTAAATTAAGACACCCATACGTCACAATGAGTTGGACCTATTTTGGCACGTGGAGAGCCTCTATGATGGTGGTGAGTGAGAAACATGTAGCAGGGAAGATCTGAAAACAAACATCCGTGAAACCCCAGACAAGTAGCTGCAGCTTCACAGAGTATATGCCAACAACGTGCCACAACGTTGATTGGGGCGCCCTTTTTTGATGTTGAAAAGGAAGCTAAAAGGAAGTCGTGGCCACTGGGATCCAAATCTTGAGTTCGGAAATGACAATGGAACTCAACATGTTTGTTATGGTTCTGAAGGTTGACAGTTTTGTTTTTTTTTTGATAGAGATTCCTTAATTCAGGTCCGCTCTTTGCCTGGTGCTTTCCCCCTTGGCTTGGTTCTGTGTACAGGACCCGTATGGAGTTTGTGACTCACCTCCGAACACCGGACATGCCCAATTTGTTCCGACGAATTCCAGGTAGTGGAGGCAGCGGGTAGAGGAGACATAGGCTGGATGCCGTCCAGAAGGGCGCCAAGGGTTCGCGGAGAGACAGGGCCATAGAAAGTTTTAAGCATTCAAAGAACCCAAGCAGACTAAGAACCGGGGGGGACTCCCCAAGATGGCGGTTTCAAACCGTGTGTAGGGCCGAGGAAGCCCACCTGAAACCTGGGAAAAGGGAAGCCACTGGGGAGGAAATCAACGGTTCGAAGGTTCCTTCCTAGGGGGAACCTTGAGCACTTCAACCGCCTGTTGTTTCGTCCACATGGGTCAAGCAAACCCCAAGGACTGATCACTAAGATCCGAAGGGAACCCACAAGATAGTTGCAAACACAGTGTATTGGCTGTTTTTGAGGGTCCATTTTTGCGGGGGGAGCAACAGATACATACCGTTTAATACTGGGAACTTGGACTACACTCGAACAAACACAACCATATGGTAGCACAATGTGTAATGATGCGGGCCCCGTGCATTGCCCTTCAAAAACACAAGGGTGTGTCTTTTTTGGTTGTATCATTTGTGGGGGGGTGGTGTATATAAAATTTAAAAGGAAACCGAAAGGAACCCATCCATCTTGGGACTTGCGATTCCTATTTTGAGAACCCAGAAGAAGCAGGCACCGCGCCCTCACAAAAAGGAGTTCGAAGGCGCCGCGGGCAGCGCGCTGACTGACCTGGCGGGCGAGGCCCAGGCAGCTGCAGAGGCGCAGTTAAGAGAAAGGGCTGATCCCCGATATCCCGAAGCTAGCTGGGGGTTGGAAGGGAGCCAAGGAGCTGAGGGTTTGCAAAGTTGCTTGCTTTTAAAGGGGGAGCCACTCAGAGCTACCGGGAGTTCTGTAAGGACATGGTAGGAAGGATTGGTACGCGACATAAAGGGACCCAACAACTTTGGTGGTGTTCCTGTTGGTTTCCTTTGAAGTAAGCTGAAAAGCGTACCGAGCCTCCAAAACAGCACAAACCCATGTTTTCCCTGGAATAAAAATAATTGTCAGTTTGGCTTTGCCCTCCAAAAGTGATGAATCCCCACCCGTATGAATCAACCAGGCGGGTCTAAATTCGGGGTAATTCCCCCCCCCACAACGAAATCACCAAAGGGTGGTTGTCCACAACCGCGGCCAAACCATAGTGTCACGGGGGTTGTCTAAAAATGTAGTTGTGTTTGCTGAGGCTCGGTGCCCTTTTCAGGGTGTGTTTAGGGAAAGCAAAAAAAACAAAACAAGTTGGGGTACCCCAATTTTAATACAACAAAGCGCGGGTAAGCGAAGGTTGTAGAAAGCATCGACCATAAATAGGTGCAGCCGTATTTGTTTGATTGCATGGCTTTTGGGTAGCTCTAACACAATGATTGTGACTCATAGGTTTGTCTCAAATGAGATGCGATGGAGTTCGATGATCTCAGACCACGGATTTGAACATCAGTCTCCTTTGGTGAGTTTGTTTGAAAGGGACCGACGGACCTGCCGCCGCCGTGCACCAGTCTGGATGGAGCTCTGTAAATTCAGTTGGAGAAGCCACCTGCCATCTGGTGCGGAATGGATTTTGTACATCCACAGTTCGGGGGGCTAAATGGCAGATTAATGTGGACTCCAAACACGTTCCAGAGGAGTCTCCTCTTGGGGTCCCCATTTTGGGTTTGAAAATAATTCACTAAGAAAAGGCTGCCTTTGCTTGTTGCTTTTTGGTTTGTCGGTGAGTTACTCGTCCGAAAACAGCCAACAAGCGAGAATATAGATAGAATATGGTGGGTCTGTGTCTCCTTGTTTGCGTGCTTGGGGTGGGCCTCCTTTCCAAAACAAGCGCTGTTTAGGGGTGGCTTGAGCCAGTTTGCAAGTCCCGTTTTCCCACGGGGACCGCTCGCAAGCGGGGTGGGTGCCATTTGCAGAGACGATGCAGGAGCTTTTTGTGGCACCAAACCAAGTTGGACTATGTGCAAAGGCAAAAACTCCTTGGCATTTTGAGGTGGTTCCATGTTTAACTTCAGAGTAGCAATGCTAGCTTCGGATTAATCCGGAATACCGTACTGATCAGGGGCCTTCAGGCAGGACATTATCTATTTGTGGGGTTCCCCTCACCACAAGGCCCTCGGATAAGTCCGAAGTGGACATGATCATTTCGTGGGGGTGGAATTCCGAAAGATTAATGGGTTGTAGTGGCTCCTGTCGGTCCACTTGCCAGTCAGCGCCAAAGGTCGGCTTCCACGATGACGAATCGAAGCAAGTAAATCACAGCTGATCGCTTTCTATGCGGGCGTAACGTGTTTGAGAGGTATACACTGGGTGGTGTGTGAATGGTAAGCCACAGGGGAGCCACCAGTTTGGGTGGGAACAAACCGCATCCGACACAAACAAACATGTTGAACAGTCGGCTGGGCAGAAAGGACTCGGTGCTCCTTGCGGAATCTCATTTAAGTTCGTTTTCAGGACACCTGCAGGAATTAACCTTCGAGTAGAGGTTGCGAGTGAGACGGCGAATTCAGAATGCGTACAGCTTTTTGTTTCGGCTTTTGTTTGTTGTTTTCATTGGATCGGGGGAGTGGCTGGGGGAATTTGAGCACCCAGTTCGTTTTGATTTACCAGACGGGAAGGTGTCGTCTCCCCTCACTTCCGAAACAGGCCCCAAATCACCGTTGTGGGGAAAGCTGCTTGTGTGTTGTTGCTTGTTTGTTCTTGGCGGTGCGCATGCTGTGTGTTTCGCTTGTTTGGGTTTGTTTGATTTACGTCTTAATTGATCTCCCTGGTTCGCTTGCTAGTTTCGGCCTTTTCCCTTGTAGGCAGATGGTATCCCCTGGGAGCAGATCGCCCCGATCTTCTTTGCGCTTCGTGGCATTGAAAATCTCAGATCACCTTGCGGACACATGGGGCTGGTGCGAATGGCGAAGGAAGCCAGTTGTTTTTTTTCCATGGATGCTTTGTTGCAGGTATCCCTTCTGGGCGTTGCCTAAAATAGTGCCCAAAATGGGGGGGTGTCCAAACTGAGTAATGGAGGTGTTTGCCTAAAATGAGCGGTTTCTTATATATGCTATGGCCAAAAAGCCCCTTTTCTGAGGGTTGGTAGGGATTGTCATCAACCTCTTAGGTGTGGTTGCCGACCAATGTAAGCATTGCTACTGCAGCAACCATGACCAGTAGCAAGTTCGTGGCCCTGTCCCGCATGGCAGTACCCTGTTTTGGGGATTTTGAGGGAAGCCCGAGGAAATGACTCGTTTTGAGGCTCTATGTTGGTTCATGTTGTCCCTGTTTCACCTGTTTCCACTTACACCCAACCATGCTTACCAATCTGCCTACCTGTTTGTTGAGTTGGACCATGTTTGTTGTGGTGGCAACTTCCACTGTGACTGGTCTGGGGGACAGCCTAGCATTGTGATCGTATGAGTAGCTGACGATTTGTTTGGAATATCGGTTTCGGGCCCCTGTGCAAGCAGACGCTATCCGTTTGTTAAAACACACACACACACACACACATTCTGGTTATATGCCCCATTGGGTTTCACCATTTTCAATTGTTCCGTTTGGCTGGCAGGATTTTAAAAGAAGCAGGGAAAACGGTTCCAACTTGGCGACTGCCATTAGTTCGGCCATAATGGAGCAGGTAGTCCAAAGCGAGAGCCTTTTGGGTTCGGACGGTAGGGGTGAGTGCTGGCTTTGCCTGCCATGCGGTGCATTTTGGAACTGATGCAGGACTTTCGGTGTTTGATGTTTGCGTTGGGCCGTCTAGCCCCTCACATTGCTGAACAAGACTCAATGCTGGCATTGCCTTCATGACATTTTCCCGGAGGGCTATGCCTTGAACGAATAACCTTCATGTGCATCCTGGAACATCATCTAGGCATGCACAGCGACACCGCCTTGGTCATTTCCACCAAGCATGACCAGACCCTTCCGGCGCATAGCTGAGGTTTGTGTTTTTGGCAAATAGCCCGCGACCAAGAATCTCGGCGCTTTGCGAGAGAACCTTGAGCGCTTGCGCTGCCGTACTTCAGGTGCCGCATTTGTGCGGAGCCCAGCCACATGATTTTCTCGTTGTCTCAGGGTGTTTGAATCTAGCTTCATGACGGCTCTTTTAGATGCATGGGCTTGTTTTGAGATCAGAAATCGAGGGCTTTCGGGAGGACCACTTCTGAGTCCTTCAGCGCCTCTGAGTTCCAGCCAGGTGTATCCATTGTTGGAAGAGGCCCTGGAGGCCACAGTGCACTTGCTGAAACTCGTTGACGCCAGCAGATCTTCCATTTGGGGACTAGGCGAAAGGTACCCCCTTTTTGGGGGGTGCTGAAAAAGGGAAGCCAAGGGGAAAACCAATGTTTGTTGGGTCCCCTGTTTTAAGAGCCGTTTGGTGCCAGATGGAGTTTGCCACCTCTAGCTTCCCTCTAAACATGGTCCAACTCTTCGGAATCTGCTCTTGGGGAACCTCTTTTGGGGCCATGTTCTTTTGCAGGGCAGTGTAGTATGTTGTTCTTGGCTCAGAAGCTCATCTCACTGACAGGAGGATGACTTGGATCGCTTGCCAATGCCAAGTGGAACAGCTGAGTCCTCAGAGCGTTTGCCGAGCTGCGTTGAACCGGCGTGGATCGCATCCTTTGAGCCCTGTTTGGCGGGTTTCGTTCAGGCAAACGTACGAACAGGTGATGATTGTTCTTGAGTAGCTATGACAATCATATACATTTCAGCTAGAGCAGTTTGGATGGCCTGGAGGTGTCTGCAATATGGCAAGGCACTGTCAGGCTCCCTGCCTTTTTGACAAGCGAAGTCAATTCGATCTGTACAAAGCACTGCGAACTTGCAACTTCAGGGTTTCTCTTGTTGGGTATGTCTCTAAAGAGAAGAAGCCCCAAAAAGAGTGTTCTCAACTTGGTTTTCCTTGAACCACCCCAGAAACGCAAACACGTCCTTCTCTCATATCAGAAGTCTTGGTTAAAAGTCTCAAGGCGGGGGCGGATCTGAAGGGAAACCAAACAGGAACAGCCAGTAAACTAGGTTTGTTACCCCGTTACCTTCCGTTTTGGTGGCTATCCTTACGCCACTCGAGGCACGACAGCCCAGAGCCGTGGTGGAGGAGGTGGACTTGAAACTGCCGCCAAAGACCATGTCGGAGCGAGTGAAAGAGGATGGGCTCCGGAGGTTTTTGAGTGAGTCGAACGGAGTTTGTTTGTGTTTCTTTTTTGGAGGGGCATTGTTGGTGGACATCATGTAGGTGGGGATTTGTGTCCACCACAAATTCATGGCCACTAGTTCTTTCTTGTTTTGGTTCCCTCAGAAAAGGAGAGTACAGGAAGCGTTTGGGTCTGTCTCAGAAGTGGGGTAACTGTCAACATGGCGATTGTCAGTGGCTGTAAAGGGCAAACCTAGAGACGAACCACCTGGAGTCCGACAAATGATTAGACCCCCGTTGAGGAGGCAGCAAAGAAGGCAGAGAAGGCGGAGAAAGCGGAGAAGAAGGCGTGCTGGTGCGGTTTGGATGTCCCATCCCAAGACTATTTTCCGTTCCCTTTGAAGTCAAAAAGGGCCTTTCCCCCCTCACGAGTGTCCTTTCAGGTTGGTTTGAACAATAGCTGCCACTGGTTTCAGTCAGGTTCTCATCATTTGCTAGAGCCATCATTGGCCAAAAGCAAGCCAATCCAAGAGTTCCTGTAGGCACGTCCTTTGAATTCTGAGGATTGGAAGAAGGAGGAGGAGGAGGAGAGCAAGCGTTCCGCCTAATTTGATTGTGGCGCTGCCTTTTTTCTTTCAGCTGATGCCACCGTCTTGTTTTTTAAACTCTGGCAAGTGCCGATCGGTTGGCTTTACCATGCCCGCCTTGAGCCTACGAGTGACGGGAAAAAGGAGTGCAACCAGACCGGCGAATGCGCGGGGAGGCTAGATGCTTCAAACAAGGCCTTTGCGCAAGGGCAATCATGGCTTTCTTCGGGCAGCGTTTTCAGGGGATGGGGCAAGGATCGGTATAGGGGTGTAAACAGGGAAGCATCTGCTGCCTCATGTTTGCCATTCGCGTGTACACGCATCTTCTGCCGCTGTTCAGCTCCGTGCAGAAGCGCGAGGCGTGCCTGGGGCGCTCCATGCATGAGAGCTTGGCATCGATGGAGTCAGTTCAGCATCAAAAATTGCCGTCCGAGGCTTCGAGTATGAGCTAGGGGCCAAGTGAAAGCATCTCTCTATCAAAGCTCTGGTCGTTCGGAGACGTTGCCGTGCTGTTTGCGCAGCTTCTGCAGAAAAGAAGAAGTAGTGGAGGCTTTTATGTGTAAGTCAACGCTGGAAGCCATTGCCAGGAGGGCTCTAACCTGCTGAGATGCCAACTTTCGCTTTTCTCAGCTTGTGTGACACCTAAGCACTGTTCATGCCGATGTCATAAGATGTCCTATGGCGATCCTTCTGGTTGCGCTGATAGGCGGAGCACGGCATGGTCGGCTCGAAAGAAAGTGTCCGAATGGGTCCCGAATTCCCCATACAATAACAGGAAACTAAAACCGGGGCCCAAAAAGGGAGATTCCTCCAGCGATGGATGGGCTTTGAGGTGCAGGAGAGGTTGGTCGACAGGTCAGACAAAATCGGGACCTTTCTTCCGACCATTGAGGCTTGCTTTCATGGGGGACCATGGTTTTGACCACCGACACATGAGCACCGACACATGAGCTGGTTCATTTGCGGCGAGGGGGAAATGGCACCTGCGCCGTGTGCGTAACTGGCCCGCCATCACAAAGTACTCCATACCGGTATGTGCGCAACTAGGCGCAATAGGGGCTTCTTTTAGAGAGGCTGCCATTGTCAAACCCAATTTGGAGGGCGTCGCTTCCTGCATGTCCGCACACGTGCAAGTGATTGATGTCCTATCAGAAGGTCCACTGGATTCCAAATTCCGAGTACAGGTGAAAGCCAGCAGATCTCTCATGGCTTATTTATGCTTGTCTTCTTGAGGTGCCAAAATGCCAAAGCCCAAATGTCCCGCACACCCCTTGTTTTCCATGAAGACAACCCCCCTTCAAACACCCACAATAGTCTCCCAAATGTCCCACACTGGTGCACGTGAAAGTGTGCATTCTTGACGCAAGCGGCTAGCAGCCAAAGCAATCGCAAGTCTCTTGTTCAGAGACACCATTTCCGAAACAGCCTCTCTGTGAAAAACTGATGTGTCGGCTTAAAATGCAGGATTGGGGCTGGGGTGTCATGAGCACTTTGAGAGCCGGTGTTGCAGCACGAAATCCTACAACACAAATGTTCTAAGGAAGATGTTGCAAATAATAGACCCCAAGGGTCCAGCATGTGGGTGTATGTGTGTGTGCTTGTGTCTTCGTTTGTTGAGGGCTCTCTCTTTTTAGATTTGATTCCCCAAAACAAAAAAATAAAAGAAGGGGGGGGTGCCCAAATGTTTGACACATAGCAGTGCTTTCGCCAGGCGTGGGTTTGGCCCAGGATTTGAGCACCTGGAGAGATTGCCTCTCGGCCGGTTTTCACCGCATGGGGGCGGCGGGGGGAGATCTGGTGAGATCACGGAAGGTCGGAAGGGGGTTCTCAAGAAGGTCAAAGGGGGGGATGTTAAGGGGTGGACCAAAGCTTTGGTGAAGGCGGGAATTCATGTCCAAACCTTCGAGATTTCAACTCAGGCTTGGGACCTCAGGTGTTGGGATGTGGACATTTACTGGTCGCCAGGCTCATTTATTCAATACTCCAGACTTGAGATAAGAGCCAGGAAGGATTCTTCGAAAGCATTTGGTAAATTCACATATATTTCGAGCCAGTTGTCCACTGCAACTTTTGTATGATTTTGGTGTTTTCCTTCTTTTTTTTGTTTTTTTATTTAGCATCACCGCCAGGAGCTTGTAATGCGCCATCGGGAACAAAACAAACAAACCAATCCGTTTGAGGAAGAAAAAAACATAGCCTCTAAAGCTACCCAAAACATCCCAAAACTACGCATCCCAAGCCCGTCCTCAACCGCCCCTAAACCAGCCCTAAACAAACCGGAGAAAATTATCTAAGCAAACCCCAAACCGTTCCTAAACCCCACGGTAAACCCACCCGACGTATTCTCAGCCAACCCTAAACCAGCCCTAAACAAAACCAACACAATCTTGAAGCAAACCCGAAACCAACCCTAAGCCCGCCCTAGGCTTTGCCCTATACAAACCCAAAACCAACCCTCCCCCACCCTAAAGAATCCCACCTAAACAAACCCTATACCCACCCCCTCCCAAGCCACCTCAAACCCATCCTAAATCCATCCTAAACCAAGGCTTAAACCGGCAGCCCACTGGTGATGCTGGGGGTGTTGAAATGATTGGGGATGTCAAAAGGGTGCTGAGGATATTGACCCGTGGTGTACGAAAATGCTGTAAAGTACAGCATGCATCGGGAGCGAAAACCCAAACAACAACTGAAAAAAGACAAAGCCAGGCAAACATGAATTGAATCTCAACCCTTTTCAGATTCCTCTTCTGAGAATTGCTCCTGTAACACTAGTTTCGTTCTGCAAAATGAAACTTCCAAAGGTCGGGAAAATGGTCTGTATTTTGTATTTGGTGTGGACAAGCTCTTGTTTTGACCCATACTTATTGGCTGCTTCGCTGCACGCTATTTTCCTGCAGGCCAGGGGACCGTCAGCGAGTTTGTGCCATGCTGCAACCGGCTGTAGGGGCCTCGGGCCTGGGGCTGCCGATTGAACTCACGCGATGCCAGCTATCATTTAAGACCTGGTGTACGGTTCCTTTCTTTCGGGGGACCCCCTTTTTGGTTAGTCGGTTAGTCTTAAAGGGACCAAGGGGAAACCAGCCTTTTGCGTTGGTGCCCTCATTTGCAGACAAACCCTGGTGTCCCTGCAATTTATTTAAGTCACAGCCAAGGTGATGATGTTTTTGTTCCAGGCCCAAGAGAGTCAGCAAAGTCGACCGAGGGGCATACTGTCCGGCTCTCCTTCTCTCGCACGAGCTTGCGCCCGGGATAAGAGCCCTACGCAGGAAGACTCTGATATGACAATTGCCCGGTTCCCATGCAAGAGTTTTGAGAATCGGATTTATGTCAGATCCTTCAAAGTGTCCCTTTAAAAAAATGATCAAACAAAAAGAAGTACCCTCGAAAAAGACGCACACAAATGTTTTCAAGCAAGGGATTTGGGAACCACTAATACTAGACCAATGGTTTCCTCACTCGGGCGCTGACCTTGAACTGGGTGAAAAGCAGCGGTCGCGGTTAAGCGCATCCATGGGAGTTGTGAACAATGGTGACCCCCCGTTGGGTTGGAATTTAAAGCGCAAACAATTGGACACCAACCATGTAGGGAACCCCCGTTTGAGAAATACAATATGATTGTGCAAGAGAGGCCCAGTGGTTTGCTAGATTTGCACGAAAAGAGACGGGAAAGGTCAGACACAGCAAGAGGGGTCCGAAATTTTGGATGCCCTCAATTCTCTTCAACACCTTCCACCAAGGGGTAGGGGGTGCAGTTGAGAAGCCGCCATGGCCCCAAAAACGCACCGTGCCTGAGGCGGACTGAAGCAATGCTTGCCTGCCTGGAGTGCCCCTTAGGGCAGCACTCGAACACACTGCGCGCTGTTTGTCGAGTGAGTGGGAAATTCAAGCAACCTGGTTGGGAGTGCAGAATTTGCGTGGGCCCCAAACGAGCAAAAAAAAGTCCTCACTTCGAATAGAGACTTCCTGAAATCGGAGACCTCTGCAAATGGTTGGCATTCCTTTGCTCCCCGTTCCTGTCAATTGCTTGCCAAACAGAGACCCCGGTAGTTGCTGCTTGTTTGTTTGTTGTTTGTTTTTGTTTGTTGGTTGGTTTGTGTGTCTGTGGGTTTGTGTGTTTGTTTCTTTGTTTGCTTTTGTTTGTGTGTTTTGTTTGCTTGCTTGCTTGCTTGCTTGCTTGCTTGCTTGCTTGCTTGCTTGCTTGCTTGCTTGCTTGCTTGGTTGTTTGTTTGTTTGTTTGTTTGTTTGTGTGTTTGCTTGTTTGTTTGTTTGTTTGTGTGTGTGTGTGTTTGTTTGCTTGTTTGTTTGTTTGTCTGTTTGGTTTGTTTGTTTGTTTGTTTGTTTCTTGGTTTCTTGGTTTGTTGGTTTGTTGGTTTGTTGGTTTTCTTTCTTTCTTTCTTTCTTTCTTTCTTTCTTTGTTTGCTTGTTTGCTTGTTTGCTTGTTTGCTTGTTTGCTTGTTTGCTTGTTTGCTTGCTTGCTTGTTTGTTTGATTGTTTGTTTGTTTGTTTGTCTGTGTGTGTGTTTGTTTGTTTGTTTGTTTGTTTGGTTGGTTGTTTGTTTGTTTGTTTGTCTGTGTGTGTTTGTTTGTTTGTTTGTTTGTCTGTGTGTGTTTGTTTGTTTGTTTGTTTGTTTGTTTGTTTGTTTGTTTGTTTGTTTGTTTGTTTGTTTGTTTGTTTGTGTGGTTGTTTGTTTGTTTGTTTGTTGGTTGGATTGTTTGTTTGGTTGGTTGGTCGGTTGTTTGTTTGTTTGCTTGTGTGTTTGTGTGTTAGTTGGTGAGTTAGAGAGTTAGTTAGTTAGTTAGTTAGTTAGCTGATTAGTTAATTAGTTAGTTGGTTAATCAGATGGATAGATAGATACATAGATAGATTCGCGTGTTTGTTTGGTTTGTTGTTGTTGTCGTTGTCGTTGTCGTTGTCGTTGTCGTTGTCGTTGTCGTTGTCGTTGTGGTTGTGGTTGTGGTTGTGGTTGTGTTGTTGTTGTTGTTGTTGTTGTTGTTGTTGTTGTTGTTGTTGTTGTTGTT